CAACAAGTCAGGATGGCCGAGCGGTCTAAGGCGCTGCGTTCAGGTCGCAGTCCACTTCTGTGGGCGTGGGTTCGAATCCCACTTCTGACAAATGTTTTGTCAGGATTTGTCCGAATATTTTGAAATCTTATTTTTATACGCACATAAACATCAGAACATCAAAAAAAAACCAATAATAAATGATATTAATATTACTAAGAATTTCCATGTCGATAACAATTTATATAGGTGTAGAACAAAATTTGGAAACACAGTCTAATTTAGTCACGCAGACGAAGTCGCAAGCAGTTAGTAGTCATATATTTTTACCTAGTAATTCCGGAAGCTCTAAAATCATAGTCCTCATCCAGATTGACATTAAATATAGGGTCAAGGTCCACAAATGACCGCTCGCTCATTGGCTTGAGGGCCTCCGCGATGGTGGGCGAAGACAGCCACTCCTCCAGCTTACTGGACTGGATCGTGTAGTAGATTATACTCTGGAAATGAAAATGTTATAAAAATTATAATACACGCTGTAACGAAGAAGAGTATGGTAGATTACAAATTTATAATATATCCTGCACATGTTAACAATTATTTTAATTCAAATAAAATTTGAATTAAAATTCATATTTTAATAGGGAAATATTTGTATTTTTGTACGTAGTGAAATAACTAAAAAACTACTGGACCAATTTAAAACATCTTTTCGCTATTAAGAAGCTACATTATCTCTGAGTAGGCTAAATTTTTACAATTCTTATTCCACTAGTTAAAAATATATTAAAAACGTCGAGAATTTAAAAGAGTTTTAAAAGAGTCAAATGAGAATTCAGTTTCTTGTTAACAGAGGGAAAGAAACTGTACCATCTTACTAATATATATGCGAAAGTTTGGATAGATGGATGTTTGTTAAGTATTTCCAAGACCGCTTAACTAATCTCTTTGAAAAGCTAGCATATAGAACATAGTGAAAGGACAAAAGCAAAAAGTTTTGTAAACTCACCTTAACATAATAAGTAAGTAGAACCTTCCTGAAGTCAAAGACCTGCAGCATGGAGACCGCGCTGTTGTCGCTGACGGAGTAGCCCTCCAGCACGTAGCGCGCCGCCGCCAGCTGCCACGCCAGCCAGCGCAGCGCCCAGCACGCGCCCGGCGCCAGCACGCGCCCGCCGCACCACCAGCGACCGCACACGCCCTCTACACAAAAACAATTGTTTTATTTTTCCAATAATAGATGGCGGTGTATAATATTGTTTCACTTTTGTAACAATAGATGGCGTTGTACACAGAAATACTCATTTTTTTATAAATATTTGTGACGATGTATACAGCAACAGTTTTTTTTAAAATAATAGATGCATTCTTTAGTAAGCATCGCCAATACTGTGTAGAAGGAAAAAAACGTTTTTTTAACAGAGTATTTTGTTAATATGTTCTAAAATACTAAACGTACGTTACAAAATATACATTTTATCTACAACCATTTCAAATAAATGTGAGCCCTCATATTAGAACTTCAAGACAAATATATTAAACAGCGCCATCTATTGTTGCAAAAGAGAAATAAAACTACACATTCATTTTTTTCTATTTATCGAGGCTGGTACTCACCACTGCTCTCCTCAGGGCCCTCAGAGATGGCCTCCACCTCCCTCTGCTGGCAGTACGTGCCTCTGAACTCCAGACCTCGCAGCTGAAAGGAGACTAGCCCGTTGCCTACTTCTACTATATGCACGAGGCAGTTCAGGTAGTCGGAGGCCAGTACTGAAACATTAAAAAATACCTAACTAGTAACTTATTCGACTTCTGCCATTTAACAATTAGATTTACGAAAAGAATTACTATAAAACCCATAACGATTTGTTTACCTCTAAGCTAGCTAACATTTTGTTAGCGTTTTGAGCAATAAATTTACGATTATCCGACTCCCATGCCGCTTATATCACATTGAAATTTTAAATGTACCTTACTACATTCTTGAATATTTTCATTGTTTTTCATTTATATTCTTATAGAAATTACCACGCTATTTCATTGTTTATTTGCGAAACCAACTAATTTTCTAGTTTTCCTGTTTAAAAAAAATAAAATAAAGACATAGTTACCAAAGCAGTCCCCCTGCTGCACCTGTCCCCAGCGGCCCAGCTGCAGGTCCCCGCACAGGTAGTGCTGCAACGACCGCGTCAGGTGCTCGTAGAAGATGGAGTTCAGGTTGTTGTCATCTGCACACAAAACATAGTCATATATTTTAAAAGTTAAAAAATATCTAAATATATATACAAATTGGTGTATCTGTATGTATATCAAAATAATAATTCAGATTTCGCGAAAATCGCGTTTAATTTTTTTTTATATGTCTGTATGTCTGTTGGCAGGCCCTGTTCGGTTGAGGTAATTACCGAAACGGCTGGGCTAGTTTTGACGGAACTTTGTATAGAAGGTAGCTGATAGAAGGTTTTTTTTTATATATAACATAAGGTGGCAAACGAGCAAGCGGGCACTACCACTGCGAGAATATTGACTACCATTTTTTTAATTCCGCATTAACCAAGTTTGCTACCGCAAGCTCGTATAATAAAAATAATAACTTAATACATAATATTAGTACTAACCTGCACCTAAATTCCTTTCAAGTTGCGAGGATAGTCGAGTATTACTTTGGTCTACCCTCTTTGTGTTGTAGTCGCGTTCCCAGAATTTAACAGGTCGCACGTATGACGTCATGAATATGGCGCTGCCTAGTAACGATTAAATAAA